TTCACAAAATACCACAAGTTTACTGAAGTTGAAATGACTTTGTCACTTTACGAAAATTATCTTCTGTCCCAAGAACGTACCTAATGCTGATTGAAGGACTTTATAAGTCTGTTATTGGTTGATTTCAAAGAGCTGTGTTAAGTGTGAGTTATTAATTACCATTAAATATATGAATTCTGTTTTCAAATCAATTGGAGTTAAAATTGTGAGCCAAGGAGAGTTCAAATCTGAAGAAATTAGTCGGTCAGAATTCTTGTTCTCACATTTTGAATCAAATTACTGTTTCTGTACCAATAATGCTGGAGAGCTACAAAGAATTGGAACAGGTTAATTTTGATGTAATGATCATGAAAGCCAGTTTCAAAATATATAGGGAGTTTTCAGAAGTATTTTATACCTACAACACAGCTGAAATTATTTCTTAAAGAATTATTTTGACCAAATTTGCATATGTTCAGTAAAGAAAATCTAAAGAAACTTCAAAATTTTCTTGCAGCTATCTACCACAGGTAACAAGCATTCTCCAACCAAATTCAGTTGAGTTTTCCTACAGGAAGGTTTTGTTGAAACTACTATACGAAGTCATTCAATATGACTGGGATTCTTTCTCTACCAGATTTAACTCTTCCAAATTTCAACATTTCCCAGAAAGTTCTGGAATTAAAATTTTGAAGTTCCCACTGGGGAAAAAAAAAAAAAAAAAAAAAAAAGACAAAACTCTTAATTATTCTCATAGCAGTGGAAGTGCCATCACAAGTAGAGCTGAACTTTTACTGAACTCAAAAACATCTCTTCTACTGTACTAAGTAACAAAAGACCGTGACAAAACAAAATGTTATAGCAAAGCACTGCTGGTGGTACCAGTGCTGTTTTGGAATGCAAGTAATTTATCGAGATGAACATTCATATTGAACTGGAATTAATTATGAATGTTAAGTTACAAATCTAAGTGCTTAGCCAAAGTTAAACAATGACAAGTAAGATTTAAATATTACACAGTACCATCTATAGAATCCATGTCACATACCTCAATCATAAGGTGTCATGAAAATAAGGTGTCATGTCCATGCTAACTTTTCAGGCTTCCTTTCCTTCCTAGTCAATAGAAAGGAATAGGCATCTTTGGAAATTAATTCATATAGCCCTAAAAAAGATGTCAGAGGAAAGCAAGAGACTTGCCTTCTGAAGGTCACAATATGTCTTTCCGCATTGTCTTTTGAGGGAGGCTAGAAACCACCAGGGATTCAACACCTGGCTTTCAGGTACATTTAGTTAGATAGGATAATCTGAATTTAAGATGTGATTAAATTAAATTACATACTGTCAACAAAAAGTCTTCAATATTAATTGCATGTTTCATCCCTGAGCTTAACCTGCTGAGTAACCATTTGCTTCCTTTCCCCTCCTTCCTCCTTTGACAGACATTTAGCATTTTTCTACTATATTATCTAAGGGGAACAATTGGCTCAGTCCCTGTTTACAAGTTCAGCAAAAGATAGAACTTCACAGCCTGTGTCTGTCTGAGAAATACTCTGTATTCATAAAGGCTCTTCACAGTTTAAATTCAAGATCTTACCCCTGCTACTCCCAGCCCAATACATGCTATATATTATATGATATATGATGTACTAATTATAGTTTATAGTTATAGATTAGTTCTAAATTATTTATTACATACTACATAACATATGGTAGCAAGAGAACTATATTGTGAGCTTGGTTTTAAAATTGTGTTCTAAGGTCTGCCAAGAAATAAAAAGTCGGACAGAGGACAGCTTATCCAGTCTGAATGTGTTGAATCCAAGACTATTCCGAAAACATTCATCATACTGTACCCTTGCTGAAATCTGTAAAAAAAAATCTAAATTACATCACAGTACCAAGCTCTAAGTTTGTTATGAAAATCTGCATTCTCTCAGCTTCACTTTTGAAGCATGAGTATGCAAATCCTCTGGAAATGGTTATCTTTCTTTGCATGTGTGTGAGGCAAACAGCATCTTTCTCTCTCCTTGTTACCCCCCTGAATTGCTTTATTTCCTTTGTTTCTTGTGTGTTTTGTTCTAGTAGGAAAAGAACCTGCTATTGTCAAAGTTGTGGGGAGAGCTAAAAGCATGGATTTGATCAGTAGTAATTTTCACTTCAGCATTACCTGGTGTGGTGGTGTTAAGCATTTTAGGACACATCATGACTGTTAGCACTAATTTTTAAAAATGTAGGAAACACAACAAAAATTAAACAGAAGATCTATGCACAAGGAGACAGATTTCCAGACCTGTGTCACTTGCATCAGACTGCAAGTGGATCTCACAGTATCTGTTTGTACACAAAATTTAATTTTGCAAATACCATCGAAGTGTCCTCTACACAGCCCCAACTGATTTTTCTAAACTTTTTACTTTAAAGAGGATTTGCAACTTGGGCCTGTTAGTGTAGGCGTGACTGGAGAACTTCGCCTCTGGACACTTACAATTTCTAATCCCTTTTCATAGTTTGCTATGAAGATGCTGTGAATTAAAGACCAGGATATGACGTTGAGGGCTCTGATTCATCAGCAAAGATGGCTTGCCTTGGGGTGGTTGGAATAATTTCCTCTGCTCTTGATCTTGCTCGTCTCTGAGCATTTCCCTTGCCTGCCTGGGGGGACAGCTCTGCTACCTGTGAAGCAGTTCTTGAACTGCTAGTTGATAGACCAGTATATTAAAATAAATTGACACCAATTCTTGTTCAGTTTACAGCTGTAGTCCCTGTGGCTTTAAAAGCCTGTGGCTGTAAAAGCAACTGAGCCATCCCTAAGCAACCAGTGGGTAAAGGGGAGGTGGATAGCCAGAGTGGAAATCAAGGCAGCTGTCCAAAGTTAAACCATCCCTGCTTGTGAATCAAAATCTCAGTTATGCTAAGACCCCTCTGGCCTAATTCTATTAGTCCACTCGGACTCCTTAGCACCTCTAGATTAGAATAAAGTGCAAATGGCATCAGGGGTTGGGTTGCAGATTTACTTTTTAATAGCCTAAATATAGGTGTTCATTCTCCTGATAAACACTAGAGAAGGGCATTTGTGGCAAATCAGTCGAAAAAACAAAATCTCTACATCTCAATGCATGAGGCCAATGCAAATAAATAAATGCCTTATGATGAGCAAAGTAAATATGCACTGTTATACTAGTTAGTCTTTCTGAATTTTTTTAATCTGTTGCAAAGTATAACTCACAACAGTACACTAAATGAGGAGATCATGCATATTTATTTGCAATTATGTCATTTCATCATGGCACACAATTAATTTATTTGATGTGCCTGATTGTTCAGTAGCTTATATCTATATAATATAATCTTAAAAAAAGCATTAACCAAAATATTTCTTTGGTCTACATTATTAATAAGCATATGCCAAATAATAGAAAATCAGTCTGGTCTTTTCTGTTTCAGACTAATTAATTAGAAATAAAAGGAATTATGTAGTGATACATTTATATTTCAAATAAAGTTGCTTGTACATTGCATTCCAGCACTTTTAGAAAATAACCGTTCATACTGCTGCCATCAAAGAAGTTGCTTCAAGCCTGCACTTTGCCTGTCTTTGTAACCTGCAAGTCCATGTGAGACTACTTCTGATTACTGCTAAGATTTGGCTTGTGAGTCAGAACACTGCAACCAGAAGCAGTTCTGAAAAGACTCGTGTTTAACTTCCTATTGAAATATTTGCATACAGAAAGATAGTGGTAAACAGATATGGTTCCCATCTGGATACTGCTAAATTCAGTGTATATGTATGTAACTTCTAGGAACAAGACTAGGCCAACGACTCAAATCGTATTTGTGATCTACCTTTGATTGTCTACATGTGTGGGAAGCCTTCACACAGAGGAGGGTGATAGTTCAGTCTGCCATTTCAAGTACAGTGTACAGTAACACAGACTGAATAACAGTTGTCCCTCTTCCTAAGCAGTGCTTGATACAGATTTCGAGAGAATAAAAGTTTGCTGGACAGAAAGGTCAGAAGAAATACTCTGTCAGAGGCTGGAAAGTTCCTCTGAAATGCTATGTCAGCATAAACAGGGCAGGGAGAAATTTGGTGAAATCACAACTGGAAAAGCCTTGAAGGATGTACTTGTATTACCCACTGATGGTTGCTCTCCCTGGGTGTGGACCCAAGGGGAGCAGGGGCCTGGCTTCCATTAAAGGTCCCAGGAAGGTGGAGCGCATTAAACCACACAGCTTCCTTGTTTGCCAGCTTACGTGCCTACAGGAGCAGTAAGACCAGGACCAGTTAAGTATGCAGATGTTCACAGGTGCATGTGAAAGAAACTCTGGAAAAGCTGTAAGAGAAGAACCAGACACACAGGAGTGTGTTTGAAAGTAGCTGTCTCTGTGTTGCAATTTGGATTTTACATTCCCTTTCATTCCAGACTCAGGTTTATTCTGGCCCGAGTCTACATGGCTTTCTTCTACCCATCCTCTACATGTACTCCATGGCACCTATATGACCTGTTTGTGTGGTGAAGCCAGGGCTCAAAAATTTCCTCATCCAGGACTTGTGTAAAGCAGGGAGTTTAAGGGGAGATATGACATAAGGAGTGGGACCCAGATGGCAGTGAATCCTAAATAGGCATCAAGAGGCAGAGGACCTGGGCCAGAGAAAAAAACTGGGCTGCAAGGCAGAGATTATCTGAAAGGATGAATATCAGGTAGAATCAAATCTATTTTTTCCTTAACCCAACCAAACTTCAAAAGAAGAGCCAGAACTTGGAGCGCAGACAAAATTATCCACTGGGTCCTGAATCATTCTGCTAACAGCAAGTACAGTAGGATAAAAGTTTATACCAGTCTTTCACAGGAAGGAGAGCTGTCCTCAAACCCTTGAATAACAAAAATTAACATTCACAATCTTTCTTTCTGTTAAAGGAGGTAGTATAATTAGTCCTGTGTAAAATGAAGATTGACTTTAATCACTGAAGGAGTATTTTTTTTCAAACCACTTTTGTTTTAAACTCTGCACTCAGGAAGATCTGTTAACAAGCTCAGCACAGAACCACTGAGAATCATTCATGAGGCATTGGAAGAATCCACTGATTGGCTTTATGGCTTTATTTCTTTACTGTCTGACATCGTATGGAGTGATGATGATAACAGTGATGAAGGTATTTGTAATGTAAAGACTTCCGTAACTGCTCTAACTGCTGGTTTACATGCATTATGTTGGCTTACTCAGGTTTTAACCTCACAGACAAGAAGGTCAAACAAAATGAAAAGTGAACGTTGCTGTTAATAAAGCATCTACTGGCTATTCCAATCAGTAAATTGGTCTCTTTGTTAGCTTTCATCTCATGTTTAATGTACCATTACAGAAAAGCTGTCAGAATTAAGTATTACCATTAGTACATCTTGAAGTAAAGAGCACTAATTTACACAAGACTTCAAAGCCACAACCAAAATATGTATCAGAATATTGCTTTAGAGAATGGAAATAGCTATTTTCTTTTAATCAGCAAGAATCTAAAGAACTGTGGTAAATATACAAGATAGACCAAGAAACTTAAAATTTTTTATTTGATATATTGATGACAGGCCAATATTTTGGGGGACAAAAAAAAAAAAATAAAATAGCATTTTGGCTGAACTAAGAGGATTTTGGATGGCATATTGCAAATAATTCAGTTTACTAGAAATTATGGTTCTGTCATTACAGTAACATTCTGCAACTGACATCATCTGATAAATGAAAGTAAATTGCTAACATTTCAAGTTTGGAAATAACTGTCCTTTTGTTATAAAAAAAGTAGTTCCCTGGTATGAGCAGAGCAGTAGTGGATCATCATGTCACACCATATTGGTCATTTTGACAAGCAACGAGTGTAGGAGTGACATCTTCATTTCATGGTAGTTTATTTTATATTCTATTGGGCTATACCAGAATATAATTAAAAAGCAACACGTACTGAAACTGACTTCTACCCGTTTATTCATAAACTTGAGATATTATCAAATTTCTACCTTTTAAATTTGTGCATGAGCTTTTTATATCAGCACCATACACGAATACTAATAGATAGGCTGCTACATGTGAGTCTGTGAACTGGGCATCCTATTCTGAGATATGATTTACAACTAGGAGAAAGCCAATCTCTGATATGGTTGAGAAACAGAAAAGGTGAAATACGGAGAGCTTGTTAAAATTTGAAAAGTGTTCATTTTTACCATTTCATAGCTCCCAAAGCGCCTGCAAGCTTTCAAATACTTGAGTGGATAAGTGTTAATGCAAGTAGGAAAGGTCATAAAGTACCTGACATACAAAAATTCACCATCTGAATGCTCACTAAGTGTTTGGAAACTTCAGTCCCAGTCTTTGGCCCAAGTGGAATTTCATCAATACCTACTAGATGTATGAAAAGGCAGTAGGCAACTTACTGCATTATAACATAAAACATAAGTCCATGTGACTTCCCTGCCCGTTGTGCACTGCAGTGCACTCACCACGGTCGTCCAGGCTCAATCCTTTAAATTCCATGTCCCACATGGATGTGCAGTGACACAAGGCAGCAATCAAATGTTCATAGTTCCACAGAAATTGAATATTTTTTGCCTTGGATTTCACCAAAGTGTTGCTAGATTTACAGTCTTGCTAACCTGCATAAACATTTTATTATTTGGAGCTAAAATGGAACCACTGGGCCTTTCCTTAAAACATGGAAGCATGCCTAACATCAGAAGCACAAACACAGATTTGGACGTTTCCCTGGTTACTACTGCACATTGAATTTTTCTACCCCAGACCCAGGAAAACCTCTATGGTAAGAGAGATGTGTTATGAAAAATCCAAAATCTCAGAATAGAGTGCTTGCCATTTAGCATATAAAGAATAGATTTAAAAAAAAAATAATAATTAAATGAGCCAATGTGACAAAAAATATAATTTTTTTAAAATTATGATGTCTCTCGTCTGACATCTGTTCTTTTCTCTTGGTTTAGGTGAAGTGGAACCTTCCCTGAAAAAAGGTTGGTCAGTTGCCTTACTATAGAGGGCAAATGTTTTGTAACTGTTTTAAGAATTAACTGGTATATCTGTGATATAGATTAGTTACATGTCAGTCTACTAACAATGTAAGTTGTTCTTTAACAAAATCATTAAATAAGAAACTTGAGTAATAATATTTGCTGTACTGTTTGCTGGTCTGTGAGAATTCTTTACTGTTTCATTATTATCCAGAAAATCTGAAAAATGTTCCTAAAAAACCAATATACTTACAGAAATAATATAATCTTTACCCTTGCCCTGTACGTGGGACTCCTGTTAATGGCAATATGAATTACGTGTATGTCTGGAGAGAAATCATATTTAGAAATAATAATACAGAAAGACTATTTAGTGAGAAATAATTGTGAGGTGTTGTGAAAGCATTTTACCTTGTGCCAATGCAGAACCCTAAAATAAGCACTATTTCTGAATCTTCTGAAAAAAATTACTTAGTTATCATTGAATTTTTAGAGCAGACAAGTGAAGCAAGTAGGATTTCTAATATAAATCTTTTCAGACATGAAAATTGTCATGCTGAAACATAAAACTTAAGTTCAACTTCTATTAAATCAAAATGAAAATGTATTAGAAGGCTTGAGATATTGGTGATAGGATGTAAAGCTTTTCAAAACTAGGGTGTGCTTTTTTTTTTTTTTTTTCTCCAAATTGAGCGCAGCTTGATAATAACTGGATGTGTAACCAGCCCTATGTGATCTGAATTTGGTATCCATCAAAATCTCAATAGGTAAATGCCCATCTTGAAGAATCTATCACCCCAGTTGGTGCTGAGATTACAATCCAGTTTTCTCTCAAGTTAATTGGAATTGCATCAGGCTTCTATTTAATGACACATTTTGTCAGTCTCAGTAGGACATCCAAGGAATGAATAAGCTTGAAGACCAGGACTGTTCATCTTTGTATGGATGATCCTTCATGTTAGGACTGAAGAAAACTTATAGACAGTTTAGGAAAACATTCCATCTCTTTACTCCATTGGTAAGAGTCTCAAAAGGGCTCAGCATTGCCCTGTCTCTTCTCTCAAAGAGAGAAATGCATTGTTAGTTTTACAGCGGGCGCAAAGAGTCTGAAGCTGTAGCACGTTGTTGGCAGGGACACCAGGTGCATGGATGGAAGGTGTCTACTCACCATGGGCCAGTGTAGCTGACCAGGTTGGGAGTACTGTGGAGGTACTTCACGACTTGGAAGGCTTAGTCCATAAAAACATTATGGACAACAACATGCTCATCATTGTAATGTCTGCTTCTTTGGAAAACAGTGACATATTTGTGCCTTACACTTTGTATTGGGACACTAGGTTGTAGAAATAGAATTCAAAGAAGCCTTCAAAATGAACTGGAAGCTGCTTAAATTTGTCAGTTGGAAGGGATGAGATAATTGATTAAGCCTAAAAGTCCTCTGTCCAAGGAAATGACTATCTAACTGCCAGCTTGAAATATTATTCTGAGTATTCAAAGGTCACAACCCTGCTCTGGAGAAAAATGTCTCAGAAAGTCTATTTTTGGGGTGAAGGTAATGGACAAGGAGTTGGTGATTCCTCTGGAGCTGGTATCTTACAGGATAACTCATAGACACAGTTGTGAAAGGGCCCAAATCCAAACATGCTTCATCTGCCTGACATATAAAACAGATTTTGAGTGAGATTTTCCACTTCCTGGATGTGTGCTCAAGATCTTTCCACTCCATTTTTCAGAGGATAAGGAGTCCCACCCTTGACTACCTGCAACAAACTGTTTCTTGACTAAGACTGATGAAGAAAGTGGTCTAAGACCCTTTATGGGTACAGGCTTAAGCTTTCACACAGCAACATCCTCAAATAACTTGTTACTATCTCCAGATGATTGGTGGTCTCCATTTCATCCTGGCATCTAGAATCTGACCTTGATTATACTTGTTTTTGTCACCTCTTTTTCTGAGCTACAGAAATACAACCTACGTACCCTGGAGCCACCAGTCCCTTAGAGAGGCCAGTGCAGAGTATTGCGCATGTCTGCTCAGTGTCCGGCAGCTGTGAGCTCCTCAGAGCTGTTACTCTCTCTCTTTGCAAACTTCTCTTAAAATCGTGTAAACATCAAGGAGCTGAATTGCCTGGGTCTAAGCTCAGATAGAAGTTTTCTGAGATCTCTGTGATAAAGTCTAGAGTCAGCAGCTTTTCTGCTTAGGCACAGTGAAGTTCACTGCGGTCTGTTCCTCTGAGCACAAGGTGCACATCTCTTTGAATAGCTTTTCCTAACTAGTGTGTGCTGTCATGTCTACAGTCCAGAAATAAGAGTTCCAGAAGAAAAGCTTTCTAAAACAAAAAAAAGACATTACATCTGTGATTTTTCCATGTGACTGCTGTTAGGACTGGACCCAAAGGAGGACCAGCTATACAAATTTGGAGACTTTTCGGGAATCAAAATGTTAACAGTTAGATCTGCAAATACAGAACAAAATTTTTAGGCTATGGAGTAGTCTCTGCTTTCATTTAAAGGATCATTTCTGCACCAAAGTCCCTTCCACTCTGTGCAGTGCTGTTATCTATAGCTTTGTGAATTATCCTTCCTCAGGTGGCTTTTCTTATGCTTCTGGCATTTGAACATCCTAAACAAAAAAATGACCCAATGAGAAGGGACAGTACACTACTACCGTCTCCAGAAGATGAGCAGTTTGAATTTTTGCACATATTTACAGAAAACCTTTCTGAAATTTCACCCTGGAAATATGCATTATGATTGCTATGCCTGATTTTTAAGTATTTGTATTGGATCTAACCCACAGTTATTGTGGTATTCATGAATAGGCTGAGAGTTTTCGAAAAATCTCCATACCTATTTTTTGGTGTATGAACAAGCCTTCAGTCTTTTGCTTTGTTGACTAGCCGTTTTTATGAATGCTAAAATATTAGCACAAAATTTAGTTTAGAGTGGAATATAGTAACCGTAAAAATAAGAAGATTGCTAGTACCACAATACAATTACATATTGAATAAAATTCAAGGGGAGTGGTAAGGTCATTGTGTAGTGACGAAGGAAGCAGAGAAAAGTGTAATGATAATTAAGAGCCGAAAGAAAGGAAAGATCACCTTCCTAGAGATGTAAATTGAAAGCAAAGATAATAAAAGTACAA